CCCCGCGGGTGCCAACTTTTCGCTCCGCCGTGCGGTCGGGTGTGTGTTATCCGTGTTGCCCCTTCCCCGTTTAGTTTGATTAAATTTGTTACCTAAAAAGTTATCTTGAAAAGATCTGACGGACCGCTTTGCTTTAATTGTGGTGGCGCTCGCAGAGGGAGCGCTCGCTGCTTTCGTGACAAAAATGCATCAAAACCAGCGCTCAACACAAAATAATACAGTGACCTGCAGCTGCAGTCTAGCTGGCCTGAACTGCCCGTGAAATAGTCCTTAGTCAAGTGTATATAGGTACCACTCCAGATGCTTTAAAAACAAAGCTCTGTTTAAAAACTGGGACTAATTTGTCCTAAATTAAAGCACTTTCGTGCATAACCTAAAATGGTGGAGATTTTACATAAGCTTTTTATAGTTTTAATCTGCCATCGTAGAAAAGAGACAACTTATATGATTATGAAGGATGCTAAGTAGTCCGTGCTATCTGCGTCTCAGTGTTGCTACGTTCAGTAACTGAACCATGTCACTTGGAGAAGTTTATTGTTTTCAATGTAGCCCTCAAAAACTAAAACACTTCTCTGCTCTTTCCAAGTCAGGCTTTTCTCTGCAGGGTGCCCTGTATTTCTATGACAAGTAAAGGCAGACCAGATCCAACTCAGAAGCGGTCTGCTCTTCAGGCAAGCCCTGCCTTGGAATGATGCTTGTAGTGGACTCTGCTTCCTTCCAGCAGAACTCTTTCAGGATTTTCAGTTATATGGACTAATATTTTTTTTCATTATTTTCAAGACTACTGAACTAGGAAGAAATCCGTGGGGTGGGGTGTGGGTTTTGGTTTGTTTGTGGTTTGTTTTTTTTTTTTTCTTTGCAGATAGCCATAGAATCTGCTTTAAGATCACTGCTTTGCTTTTGCAGTCTGCACTAGAAATGGTTGTCAGAGGCTACAGGGAGTTCAGCTGCCTGTTGCACACGGGGGAAGGCTGTGCATAGTTAGGCAGATAAAGCAGCTGGCACATGTTTTCAGAGTGGAGAACAGGAATGAGGAAGCTAAATGCAAACTTTGCAGTGAAAGCAAAGCAGAATCATCTTTGTGAAACTGGCTGTAGGGTGGTTCTTTGTTTTGGTTTCTTTATTTCTTTCCCCCCCTTTATCATGCTTTGAGGCATGGAGTCATTCTTACTTCATTTTTAGGATGGCCAGGCTTTCCTGTCTAACTGCAGAGACAATGCAGAAGTGCCCGAGATGACAGAGATGATGGTGCTAGCTGCATGTTCAAGTCCTAATGCCTCTGTCCTACCTTGTTGATATACAAGGACTTGGTAGTGGCAGCTTTTGCAGTTTTTCTGACACCAGCACACAATTTATGTCTAGTTATTTAGCTTATTTCATCTGTAGAGAGTAAGGAGCATATGGCAGAAGGTCTAAGGTAAACAGGCAGCTGATGGGCTTGTCCTCTTCCAAGTTTCCAGTCCCAAGATCTCCCGTGGAAGCTGTGTATCTGCAGGTCTATAACCCTGGTGTAATTCCCCAGGCTGAACAAGATTGTTGTTCTATGACCTGTATTTGAGGGCAGTGTGCTCCAGAGTTCCTTTTTTATCTGGGCAAAGTGGAAACTGGCACTTTTCCAGGCTAAGCCTTCAGACTCATCTGTTACAGGGACCTCAGCATCAGAGCTCGCAGCCTTGTTGCCTAAGCACATTTATCTGTGCCAGTAGCACTTCAACACAGAGTTACTTCCTTGGAGATACCAGATAGCTAAAGACAGTTTTTGTAAAAAGACTTTTTAGAAACAGTTGCTAATCACTACCTATAGCATGAGGAAAGTAACAAAATACAAAATGCTTTCAAAATTTGAAATACTTTACAAAATTCTTTCATCCAGTTGCCTTATCTTTCCAGTTTAGCTGTTTGCTTCTACTGAATTTCACTTCTTGTATGTGTTTTTTCAGCTCGATAGGGTTGATAAGAGTTAGTTACTCTTGCTCTGCTGGCAGCTTGCTAGAGTTAACGTGATGGTTCTTGGTGTCTGCCAACTCACTGAACTGGGATGCCTGCCTACAAATGGAGGATGGTCAGTTAGCAGTATACATTGTTACCGCTTTGCCTGCATCCTAACTTAAGCCAAGATTAAGGTAAAAAGACAGTACAGAGGGTAATGGCTCTCACAAGTATTGTATTGTGAACACTGCATTAAAAATGCGTTAAAAAAAGCAAGCAAGTGCATAAGTGTACATAGAAAGATTTCCCAGGTCACTATACTGTTTTTTTTTTTCCCTAAGTGTTTGTTCTTCTCTCAGTCTGAGATTTGTCCCAGAGATTTGTGAAGTATATTACCGCACTCATCTTTTAACTAATATGGCAAACCTCTAAGATTTCTCCCAAGGAATATTTAGTTCTAGATCAATGAAGTAGAAACATCCAAAGCAGCAGTTAAAACTTATGTGTCTTAGAGTTTAAACAAGCTAAATTTTCCAGAGTTGGCCCAACTTTGGAGTATAATTTCACAGGTGATCATGTATTTAGAAACAAAGCCTCTTACTTAAAAAGTTGTCCTTATTTGAAAGTGCTGTATGTTCAGAGTAGCTGGTAGCCCTATGAATGGTACAAGTGGCCTGATCTTTCTTCCTTCTCTGGCTATTGAGGATGAAAACCTATTAGTGGGCAAATACACACAGAGATGCATATATGTAATATGGATTCCTGTATTATGTGGTCTTGCACACCCAGTCTGTCTGTAGCTGCTTCCAGATGCCCGGGTCTCCCCAGGGGCTGGCAGCCCAGTGTGTAAGCCCCCAGAGGTGCATAGCCCTGTTCCAGCTGCTGGTATTTAGATCCCATGTGCGCACACTGACACACATGTGCTATGTATATCCCTCTGTACCTGTCCTTAGACACTCAGGCAAACCAGTAACTGGCCCTGGGTGGCCTGGTCTCCCAGTTTTCTCATGCACAGGCACAGATGGATCCCTGGCCCAGACCTATGGCCTCTCCAGTAGTTGCCCTACAGCCTAGCACTTGGCTCAGAAACCCCCTGCCCCGATCTCTCCAGGATTTGGCCCAGACTCATGGCCTTTTGAGTACCTAGTTCCCAAAACTCTAACCCTATCTGTGCTGGTTTGGTGTCTGTTAGCCATGGCACAGGCTGTGAGGAGGTGTGGCCCCTTCTTCCATCGCTGGCACTTGGACCTCTGTGCCCCAGGGCGCAGATAGAAATGCTGATAAATAAATAAATAAGAAGCCAGGACAGACTGTGGTGATCTGAGTCAACTTCTAGGCAGAGGCCCTCAGTCAGTCTGTTAGGTGACCCCCCAGGGCCCCTCCTGCTTGCACCCATGGTGGGTCCCTCACCCTGTAGCTGGGCCTTGGGCTGACCGATGGCCTCGCGAAGAGCAGGGCCGGGCTGCTGCCCCAGCACTGTGTTACATGGGTGCCTCTGCCCACTGGTGCTTCTCTACTGTTTTTTTGTTTATGCAGATTAGCCGTTAATCACATAACCTAACGTTATAG